CCGGTCCTGTTCTGAGGAAGGCAGGACTCTCTGCCAGTTCGTCGCCTCTATCCCGGAGCTGAGCCCAGGACCAGATGGTGCCAGGGCACGGCGGGTGCGTGGCTGCTCTGATCCCCGTGCAGGCACCGGGGCTGGGCTCTGGCCCCTGATGGACCAGGGCTCCGACCCTCCATCCTCCAGGTGCTGCACTGGCAGCAGTTTCTCTCCCAAGCCCAACTCCTGCGGGGCCGTTCTTGGCAGCAGTAGGACATGTGGTCCCCCCGGTGGCTGCGTGTGCTGTGGAAATCCAGCCCTGCCGTCTCAGGTGGGCTGTGTGCTGGCGAGGGGGCAAGAGGTTTATCAGGAAATGACTGGGGAATGTGGATGTGGTTCTTGTTTGTTTCCATTACATGCGGCAGGTCTGTTTGGTGCCAGACTGGCTTGTTTGTGCGAGTTGCAATGAGTCTGGCTTGTTGCTGAAAACTTTTAAAATAAGTAAGTATCCTGGTGTTGCCTTGGCATTCTGCATTGGAGCGTTTTGAAAGGCTGGCAGGAGGGAAATTTCTGGAGGGAGAAGGCAGAGGGCTATAAAAGAGTGCAATGCTTTCCTGCGCCCAGAGCTTCATTGAAAGGGACGGGCACTCCCGATTTCACAAGGGGATAGTGCAGGCACTCGGGAGGAACTCAAGGACAGGGGAGCCGCGCGTGGGGCTGAGCGATTCCTGTGGCTTCCGCGCTGTGTCTGGAGCTCATCTGGAGGGAAGGTCGCCCTTTGCAGTGGCCGCTCGCATGCAGTTACCTTTACAGACAAAGGCTTTTACCTTTACAGCCTGCCGGGGACTGTGCAGTGTTATCCTGCTCATCCCAGCGGGACTCGTACTTCAGGGAGCCCTTCAGTTACGGGGCAGGAAGGGAGTGCATCCTGCAGCAGAGGGGTGACACCTGGGGGTGTCCCCAGGAGTTCAGGGGCACGCGGAAGAAGCGGAGAGCGATGGCTTGAGTGGGATGGGGCAGTCGCTGCAGGCAGGCAGTCTGCCCGGGGGCAGGCAGGGAGGGACGCCTGAGCTCAACACCCGCTGGAGCTATACAGGGAAACTGTCGTGTCTCGGCCGTGGCAGACTCTGTCGTGTCTTGGTGTGAAGCCTGTACCCACGCTGGGGGGGGAGGTTTGGCTGAACCAGCTGCCCCCCGTGCGCCGCCAACGGCAGCACAGCCGTGCTGGCTTCCTTGCTGTGGTTGTGCTTACTGATGTGATTGCTGGAGGAAGGTCTTTGTTTTCCAGGAAGGCTCTAAAATCATCTGTCCTGTGTGAACCTAGACCCTTGGTCAAGACCGCAGTCGTGTCCTGTCTTGCGGGAACAAAGGTTGCTTTTATTCCCCGGGGACTTGCAGCCAAGCGTGCTCCTGGGGCAGCTGGGTCTGAGCAGCTTGCTATAGAGCTGCCTCTTCCCAGGTCTGAAATGGAGTTTGAGCTATTTGCAGGTCATTCATTTTAGAAACGTTTATCACCCAAGACTTGGGAACAGTCTTCTAGGTGAGCAGCATCTGCTAAGTTTTCCCTAACAACTAACTTTCTGATCAGCTTTCACTCCTGTCTTGACAGCAGCATTGGGGTGGGACATTACCGCTTTTTTTTTGGTGCTGCTAAGGTGCCCATCAGCACAGTATTTGGGCACCATGCTGTCATTCACAGGCATCGCTGAAGTGGCTTTATTACGAGGAATTACATCAGCTCAGGTTTGAGTCTTTTGTGGATCTATTGCTGGTCCTGTTTGGCATGCAGAGAGGCCTCATTCTGCACAAACTTAAAGGTGTATTAACTTTTTCTTCGAGTGAACTGTAAATCAGAGCTGGGTGAGTATTGCAAGGAAGCATTGCAGCCACTCAGATAAACCACTGTCTGCTAAATGGCTTTGCAAAACTTACGTCCCAGGCACTTTTAAATGAGCAATTTGTTCGCAAGGATGTTTACAGAAAGTAAGTCTTTAAAATTGTCCTGCAAATGTGAACTTTCTTCAGCATTCAGTGGAAAACTATAAGCAGCCATCTTCACATCCCTTGGCTGCTTGAAAGTATTTCAAGATAAACACTTGCACGTGCTGTAGCTGAGCCCCAGCAGCTCCAGAGGTGTCAGGCCAAGCTCCCAATGCCCATCACACTGGCTGGGGCTCGTCTCTGTGAGGGGACAAGCAATCTTGCTAGAAAACACTTCTTCAAGGTGAGAAGGCCAGGCCCCTGGTAATTTGCTGGGCTGGACCTGCTGCCTGTAGGTGTGCCAGCTTTCATGGCGTTAACACTGGTTTGCGGCAGAGGGATCTGGCGTGTGTTCTCCTACGAGTAACCTTCGGTTGGTGAAGCTCCGTGTGCCGCATATGCCGTGTGCTGGGATGCTCTTGCCCCAAATGGCTTAGAGTGAACAGAGCAAACTTAAAGTTAATTGCGACCGCTGCTCTAATGTAAACCAACAGAGCTGGGTCTCCTGCGCTGGTGCTCCTACTCCCATACTCTGCAGAAGATCCGCTTGTGGCCTGCAGTGACGGCAGGGGCCGGACCCGGCGAGGCGCCCAGTGCCGCTGGCTTGTGCAGGCGAGGGGTGTGTCTGTGTGAGCCCGCTTGTGCCGCTGTGGCTCAGCCCTCGTCCCTGTGGGGGCCAGGCCCTTCCCTCTGCCCGGGGCTCTGCCGAGGGAGACCCTGTCTGCAGTTTGGTTTCGTCTTCTGTGAGCGCCGGCTCCTGGAGCCCCTTCGGTCGCGGGCACTGGGGTGTGTTTCCTGTTGATTCAAAGAGGGTCAGAACCTACCAGTGTCCCCTCTTTTCTCTGGGCACTAATAAGAACGAGCCCTTTCAGTATTTTTCCCCATTAACACCTCAAAATTGGAATTTGTTTCTGCCTCTCGAAGAGCTGACCTGCTGAATTCCTTTCTCCTTAAGCACAAGCGGTAAAGCCTGCAGGCCCACAGGATGCATCAGGGGAGTTGCAGATTAATATAGCATTACACATTCCTTCTCCTGCCCCTGGAGTAAGCTGGCTCTAAAGCCAGGCATTAGAAAATGGTCAGCAGGGACAAAGCGAGCTGGAAGCAGGCTAAGGTTGTGCTTGGGGTAGAGCGTCAACTGCAGAAGTCGGGCCCTAGCTGAGCTGCAGGAGGTTAAATATAAAGTAATTGTCTTTGGGGAAGATCTATAGTGGGTCCGCGGGGTGTGGCCGGGCGCGTGCTGGCCTGGCTGCCTCTGGGCCACTGCAGTGAGGACTGCCTGAGGTGGAGGACCCGAATCATGGCTGGGCTTCTTGTTGGCTCCTTCAGCCTGGGATCGCGCGGGAAGGGGAAGATGAGGTCCTGGGCAGCGCAGTGGGCTGGGAGATGTTGGCCATGGTGCCTGGGGAGGGGTGTGAGGGCAGGCAGTTTCGGGGTAGCTGTGGCTCCATGAAACAGTGGTTCTCCTGGGGCGCAGAGCTGTGTGGGAGCTGTTTGGGCCCCTGGCATTCGTGTTCCTGACCTTGGCTTGATGGGGTATCCCATCGGGAAAGGACAGTGTCCCCTGGCAGCCCTGCAGGCACATCCATGCTGCGATGGGGCTGCGGGAGGCAGGGCTGGAGGATGG